TGACTAGGAATCCCAAAAATTTTCCGGATCCCACGCCAAAGGCACACTTAGACACATTCAGGCGCAGCTTGTGTTTTTTGAGAATGGCGAACATTTCAGCCAAGTCGGATAAGTGGTCTCCTGCATGCCGGATTTTAACCACCATATCATCAATGTAGGCCTCCATTGTCCGCCCAAGCAAAGGAGCAAACATCTTGGTCACCATCCTCTGAAAAGTTGCCCCGGCGTTCTTTAAACCAAAAGGCATGACTCGGTAGTAGAAGAGTCCCCTTGGAGTCGTAAAGGAAGTAATCTCTCGGTCGGGCTCATGCATGGCAATCTGGTGGTAGCCGCGATAGGCATCCAAGAAGCTGAGCCGATTATGTCCAGCCGTCAAGTCCACAAGCTGGTCAATACGGGCCAAAGGGAAGCTATCCTTCGGACAAGCTCAGTTAACTGTCTTGTAATCGACACAAACTCGCCACTTCCCATTCTTCTTGGGCACCACTACTGTGTTGGAAATCCACCGAGGGTAGTGCACTTCCTGAATTGCTCGTGCCTCAAGCAAGTTTTTCACTTCCTCTGCAACTACCTCGGCGTGATGCAGCGCCGATCTCCTTGTTCGCTGAATGACTGGCTTTGCTCCGGGGAAAACATTGAGGTGATGGCAGATAAAACTTGGATCGAGGCTGGGCATATCGTAAGGCGACCATGTGAAGACTTCGATGTTGGTCATCAAAAACTCAACCATCTCGGTCCTTTCTTGGGCCGTGAGGCTGGAACCGAGCAGGAAGAACTTATCCGGCCACTCCATATCAACTCGCACCTCCACCAATTCCTCAATAGCTTTGTCCTCTGCCTTGGTGCCCACATCGTCAAGAACTCCCCGGTCTTCCGGTCCTTCTATCATTTGAACGAAGCCTTTGGCAGCCCAGCTCCCGTTCACTGCCACGAAGCATTGTTTGGTCATGACTTGATCTCTCCAAATCTCCTCGATTGCCCCCATAGCCGAGGGGAATCTCATCACCTAATGGTAGGTCGACGTTACGGCTTGCATGGCGTGAAGCCATCCCCTTCCAAGGATTAGATTGTAAGTAGAAGGAACTTGCAACACCCAGAACTCCACTTGCTTGACCACGGATCCCGCTTTGACCGGCAGGATAATCTTTCCCAAAGGCCACTCCGGTTGCGAGTTGAAACCAACCAGTGGCGAAGTTGCCGGAGCCAAGTCTGTCTCTCGGAGCTTGAGCTGCTTGAATACATCGTAATACATGATCTCGACCGAGCTTCCCTGATCGATCAAGATCCGTTTGACATCGAATTCCTTGACGCGGAGTGTTACTACTAAGGCATCATTGTGCGGCGTCTGAATGCGCTCTAGATCCCTTGAGGTGAAACTAATCACATCTTTCTCTGCGGTCTTCCCCCTCTTGATGGCAGGCTGTACCGACAAAACCTCCCTCATATGTTCTGCCTTTTTGATCATACCCCGGAGTTCGCAAACATGCTCCGGTTCCACTATGCCGTGGATGACATTAATAACTCCTTGTGGTGGCACATCTCGGTCATCCTGTCCCCTGGGCTCAGCCAGAGCCTGGTTCGCCTTTATGCCCCCATCAATGTAAAGGTCTAGGTGTCCGGCCGTAACTAGCTCTTCCAGGTGTTGCCTCAAAGGCAAACAATCCTCAGTCCGGTGGCCTCGCTCCCGATGAAATGTGCAACGATACCGCGGATTGAATCCCTTTTGTCCATCGCCCAACTTAGCAGGAAACCGGACATACTCCTCGTCTCGGGTTTCACTAAGTATGCGATAGATTGGAATCTTGAAGACCGTGGTTATGCCAGTCCTTGCCTTCATCCTTCTATTTGCCTCTGCTACGTCATCTCGGGGGTAGTCATCCCGGTCATTCTGACGTCCTCTATACCGATTTTTACGATTCGAGCCATGGTCCGATTCCTCTGCTCGGTTACTTGAGCGGCTGGACTCTTGCCCAACTGCGTGCACTTTGCCTGCTGTCTTCTTGTCTATTACTACCGGAGTTACCTTCACGGCAGATGCTGACGCATCATCCTCGACTCAGATGTGCTCATTGATACGCTGCATGAGCTGGCTCATGGACGTCGGTTGGTGCATGGTAAGCGAGTCCCGCAGTCTATGTCCGACTAGGAGACCACGCTTGTATTGAGTGATTGCAAGGTTGACCGGGCAATCCAAGATCTCGTTGAAGGTCTCCCAATATCTGGAGTTGTATGCCTTCAATGTGTCGTTCAGTTCCATCTTGACACTCAGTAGGTGATCAACTTCTTTTGGTGTTTTGGTGTTGGTTTTGAAGCGCGTGACAAAGGCTTCGGCCTGCTGATGCCACCTCTCAATACTCCCCTCTGGCAGCCTTTCAAACCACTTCAAGCCCAGTTCGCCAAAACTTGACGGAAAGATGAGGCACATAAGAGCATTATTCTGCCTATGTCCGGCCATGACCTGTTGAAAATGACTTACATGCATGTAGGGATCGGTCTTCCCGTCGTAAGCGGAAGCCTACCGGAAGCGGTGTTGTTTCTATTTCCATAGAGAAAGGGGTGGCACTCAACCTTGCCAAATCTGTATCCACTAGGAGGGGCGCTGCTTGGCGGGGTGGGGGCATTCTAACCTCCTCGCTGGCGTGAACCCCGTAGGATAACCGCTGGAACGCCGATATCCTCTGAGCTTCCCGCCGGCGAGCCCGCTCCTTTAAGACCGCCCACAAATCCTCTGAATGAGCGGAGTAAGAGTACCTCGACGTCATCACTGGACGTGAGGGCTGGTAAGTGCTATCTTGCGCGCTAGACTTCTCGGCATGCACGTCAGAATCACCAACCTTGTAACTTCTGGTAATAGAAATGGACGGAGTGCGTCGTTGACTCTAACCGCCTGAACGGCGGGATAGGGTGCACTCACTGTGGTCACCCACTCCAGCTACACCCTTCCCTTTGACATGCCGCTTGAGCTCTTCCATCTCCGCCGTCATTCGCCGGATGACGGCGTCTTGGTCCCTCAACTTGTGTTCCAGACGTCTGGCGTGTGACTCTCTCCGCCGCCGATGACCGTCTGGACTCCGCGAATGACCATAACTTCTCCCGCGCTTATCCCGCGCGTCCCCCGACTGCCCTCCGGGGAATGTCTCCAAATCCGCCATTGGAAGGATGGCGGGATGTCCCTCTCTCCGTCGGATAAACTCCGGGATGGCTCCGTCGATGGCAGACAACGAAATCTCATCGTTGTTTGCCATGAACGGCGATCAGATGAGCCTGGAAGACAAGGTTTTGTCTGTCAAGTTCCCACAGACGGCGCCAATTGTACAGGGAGCAAATATTCAGGCAAGCCCGTATTCCTTTCTTCCAAGGCCCGCTTTTGTCCGATCACCTGCGAGCACAACAGCGGTGAGCTACCCGGCGGTGTGTGGCCGGAATACCCCTCCGACGATCAAGTTAGAACACACACAGGGGATAGATAGAGAGAAGGGAGAGTGTTTAGTGTATGTCTCACCAAATGTTCATCTGCCAGCGCATAGGGGGCGCAGACGTGCTTATATACCTTCTACGCACCAAATCTACTCCCAGTGACCTCTCAACACGTGGCACTGCTATCCCATCTGTCAGCATAAACCTTGCTGAGCACCACCTAACCCAACTGCCTGCCCATTCTCTTGGGAGCTCGGCAGCCGGGCAGTACCATCTCGGCCATCGTCTGCCATGCTGCGCTTCATGCCCAAGTACTCCAACAGCTAAGCTCAGATGAGGACCGGACTCGGCGGCATCTCGGCAAAGCCGAGCCCGGGACAACTCACGCTTGTCTACGGTCGACCTACCTGCCGAGCAGACTGGTACCTCGGTCCAACCTTACCTTTCCTGGCGCTGGACTTTTCACCTGACCGGCTTCGTAACCACGGATCCCTGCAGATCGGTCAATCCAAGCGCTGCCTTAACCGAGCAGCTTCCTTCAAGGCCGGGCCACACAACTTGGCCCAACACCTGTTCGCCCCAAATCTGTCCGGCACAACTCTGTCCGGCCCAATTCCATATCATTAATCTCCCTCTTACATGCGTAATGATGTTTTTAAGAATTGAGCCATGCAAGTTTATTATGCATCTGATTTTGAAGAAAATTTTTTGAAAACATTGAGTTCATGAAAGGGTTTAATCATGGAGTTAAATAAGGTTTTGATTTTGTTTTGAAACCTAAAATTGGTTTGATCTCTAACCCATGCATGTAATATAATGAAAGAGTTTTATTCTAAATTTAAATATGTTATGGAACATCTATGATTATGAACTAAGTTTTGTGTGTGATAAAAAATATAAAAAAAAATAAAAATAAAAATATTCTGTACTACACACATGCAAATCAATTGAGAAGGACTTCCATGGAAGTTTGAATTTTAGAACTTACACTTGCATGGTTTATACATTTATATAACAAAGTGAGGGTTTGATTTATTTATGACAATTTGCGGTTGTTTTAAACTCATGCATTTTTGTTTGAAGCTAGAACTTGTGAATTCAAGTGTGTTTGAAGAATTTTTGGGACTTATAATGTATGGAATGAAGTTGTATTGATACAAATGTGAGCTGCAAATTTGAACAGAATTTCTGACAGTTTTTCACCCAGCACCGCACATGCAGCTTGGAGCCCCGCATGTGCGGAAAACAGGGCAATGTGAGCAAGCATTCTTCTTAAATTGCAAGTGCGGGAGGCACGTGTGGAGATGGTCTCGCACGTACGGCAAGAACCCCCACACGTGCGGCTGTAACAAGCAGTCCTGGTTTTGTTTTTCGCTCCACTTTTTCACCTTCTGGGCCCCCGTATGCATGATTTAAACATGTTTCTCATATGCATTACATTTCATGAACACCAAGAAAGTGTAGAACAAATGATAGAACCGAACCAGTAGATAATGAATGGAAACCAATTAAGTAAACAACGAATCGATTGAATGAGTGGACTGTGTATTTAGTTGTTGTGCTTGAACTTGTTTGTTGTTTAGGTCGGACGCTGCACCGTTAGTGCATTGTAGCACATGTTTCGAGGAGCCCACTGTGAGTAACAATGTTGTAAAGCTATGTTCAATTATAATTATTTTCTGAATAATTAACTGCACTACTTTCTCAAATGATATTGTTTACTGAACGAATATTTGTCGTATTTTATGAACTGTACTCGTAGCATCCATAGCAACTAACTGTCACTACTACTGTTACTGTTACTGTTACTGCTACTATTACTGTTACTACTATTGTTACAGAGATCTCTATCAGTTCTATATTTTGGAACTACCGTTTACTGTTCGATGGCCATCAATTGATTGTTCGGTCTTCTAAGACCTACTGTGCTGTACTGCTATTAGATGTACTACGTATGACTGATATGATTTCTAAATGACTGATATGACATGAAATATGAGACATTGATTGAATAACTGATCTACAGATGCAATTGACTGTTTTAATTACTGAAAGGACATTCATTCTTAATCCCTTTACACATTTGTTATTCACTGGGTTTTAGCTCACAGTTGTTATATATGTAGGTGGTCAGGCACCGGAGCAAAGTTAGCAGTGTCGACCTGAACCCGTTTTGTCAAGCCAACCTATTGTGCCTCACTGCGAGGTTCCGAACCGTTAATGTCAAGGCCTGTTTTTGGGTGCTCTCATATGAAGTCAAGTGAATGTTATATAAATCGTTTTGGCTTTGGGATTTAATTCCCTAACATCTGTTTTATTTTTTTTTGTATATAACGTCTTATGGACTTAAGTGTTTGTGCATATATCAATATATGAAACTTATGTTACTCAGTTAAGTCCTCACAGCTCTTTGGACATTCTATTTTAATATTTACAGGCTTCCGCCGGCCCCTTTATTGTACTACTGGGCATTTGGTAATCACGGATTACTGGCCAGTTATGATGCTAAACCCTTAGAGGCAAGTTTGGGTCGTGACAAGCACCAATGGCAACACTAAGTGCAAACCAAACACCAATACCAATGGCAACACCAAATCAAGCTTCAGCCATTCCAAGGGCAGCTTCAGCAATTCCAAGGGCACCAAATCCATCTGCATTAAGGGCAAGTTCACAAACACAAAGGGAAACTTCAACGACAAAGGCAACTTCAACATCAAGGGCAACAATAGCAGGAGGAACAAGGACAACACCAACAGCAACAAGAAGTGCAGCAATAACAACAAAAGAAGCATCGTCACAAACATCTGAAGCAACAAGGGGAGCAACAACAGCACCAACACCAACCTTATTTACATGGAGATGAAGGAATGTTGTGACCTTGCCCTCACTTCAAAATGCATCTGCCTCTAAGGAGAAGAACCTAAAGTAGGGTTGCTGTTTATTTTGATTATCAAACGCTTTTGACAATGTGGCATGTTTTGTTTATGTAGTTATGGATACTGCCAACATGTTTGCATCATGAATATGTGGCCATTTTGACTTAGTGGATACAAACAATGTATTTTATGAAATGAATTATGGCCATTTGTGTGTTCATGTGGATATTGGCTTCATTTGTGGCAATGTAGTTATGGATACTGCCAGTAAGTTTTTCCTCTTTTGCTGTCATTTAGTGATCACATGTTTTCCATGTGACTAACCTTTGTTAAAGAGTCCAACGGTGGGAGTAACAGAAGGGTCAGTGTGACACTTGACCAAAAGCGCAAGAGATTAAGTGTCACAATTTGATGTGTAGGGATCGAAGTGAGATTTTATGTAAAACGCAAGGATGCAAAGTGTAATTTACCCATAAATGTATTAATCTAACAAATAAAGCTCACAATGATACATGTAAATAAATAAAAAAATAAGTCACACCATAAATTTCTCATTTGAAACAATTTATACGTTCATGAAATTTTATTTAGGACTTAGAAGTAAATAAGTCGGAAATGGGGTGATTGTCGTGCCTCTCACACAGCAGTCACTGTTGTACAGCTATATGGGCCCTTTTTAGGACTCATCTCGATGATCTGAATCGTTCACTTTTTAGAGTACATCGAGTAGAACATACCTCAAAAAAATCAAGTTGATCAGACATCGTTAACTCCTTCTTCCACTCACATTTGTATTCATTTTAAAATTCAAATCACATTTGTCATTTATTTTTTAGATACAAATGCAATTCAATAAAATAGTTAACGATATTCGATAAACTTGATGTTTTGTAAATATTCTACTCGATATACTTTAGAAAGTGACGTATGAAAACTCACATTTAATTATTCTTAAAAGAAAATAAATAAATAAATTAATTAATTAATTTTATTCAGAGTCTATCTAAAATATATAATAGTGTAAAAGTTAGTTCCAAATTAACCTAATTCAATCACTAACAAAAACATTATTAAGAATAATAATTTTGTGGGTATTCAATATTTATTGTTTATAAATTATTTTAATTAGGATTCAACATGATAATTATTATTACTAAATACCTTAATTAAAAATTTTAGTGTATTAATTTTAAGCAACTCACACAAATACACAACAAAAAAAAAAATAGCAGATTTTTGGTGGCAACTTTGCCACATGTTTGTTTGCATGTAAGTGTAGGAACCCTCACCTCATTATTCTTCTTGGAATTGGAAAAGTAGACTAGACCACCTGAGAGACCACCTGAGAGAATGATGAGAAAAAGAGATAGAGAAAAAGGGGGCTCAGAGAAAGAGAAAGAGAGAAAGAGAAAAGGGGGGCTCAACTTGATTTGTTATATATACATAGGTATGTTTACTCCTCCGGATCAATGAAGAGAATAGAGAAGAAGAAAAAAAAAAAGAGAAAGAAAATTCTGTGAGCAACAAAGCAGTAGGATGAGAAGAAGAGTGGGAGATTAAGGTTGCATATTTTCCTACCATTTCACTATTCCATTTCAATCCTACAACTAAGTAAGAAAACTCTCTCAACCCTCTCATTTTTTTTTTAATTGTTGAAATTTTCAGATGATAAAATGACTAATTTATAGATAGAAATTTTTATATATATGTATGTAAATTTTGTGATGTGTATATCAAATATTTGAAGATATTGATAGTCTTAAAGTCATGGTATTAGTGTTGAAATAGGCTTGCATGTGTAGTTTATACCATTAAAGAGAGGATTGAAGAATTTATTTGGTCCTTAAATCTGCAAGAAAATTTGTACGAATTTTTAGACAATTTTATACTCAAAATTTGAAGATTATTTCTTCTACAAAGTTGTTTATAATGATGTTTAATTCATCCATGAATTTTTCAACAATTATGGAGTTTTGTATGAATTTATACAGATTTTTAATCAAATATGGAGCTATAGGCAGATTTTACTATGTGTTTGAAAAATCATTAAAAATTTTATATTAAACCAAATCTGGTAATTTCTAAACAAAAAATGAAATTTGAGAAGTCTAGTTTCATAATAAATTTTTATATTATGGAATTGATTTATAAATTTAAGTAAAGAATTAATTTAAGAAAATGTGATAAATCTGTGTCATAAACTTTCTTGAAAATTTTAAGAATTATTTATAATTTATTTTTGGGAAATGCTTTCTGAAAAATGACCATAATATGTTTATTGAGTATTCTGTAGATTTATATGAATTTTAGAGTTGTATAAGTAATTTATTTATAATTTTATTTGCAAGATATACATTCTGAAAATTTTGGCAGGTTAAGGAGGAATCAAAAATTATCTCTTCAATTGTTTATTTGGACTAAAAATTTAATATTGTACTAGTCTAATCTTGTAGATTAAAAATCCATGCATGTGTGTAATTATGATTTATTGGTATCTAAATTATTATTTCATACCATGGTTTAAATAAATTGTTTATTTAAATTTTGTACAATTATTTATTATTGTGTGACATATGTAATATTTTATGTTAGAAATTTTAATGAGTTGGTATAACATTATTTGTAATTAAAAATTGAAATTATTTGTGATTAATATCAAAACTAACTGAAATAATTAATGGCATATACAAAGTTAACAATTGACGATTAATACCAGTTGTTCAATGTGAGTCCTGGTTTTAAAGAGTGTACGAAATTAAGGGTTGACGGTTAATACCGGTTGTTCGGGGTGAGCCCTGGATTTGAGAATTCTCATGTAAATTGTGTCGCGAAACCCTAAAATAGTACGGGACTTATTTGAATCCTTTTCGGTATTCGGTTTTGAAATAAAGGTGGATGTACAAGTGGCACACAGGGAGGTTACGTACCCCTGGCAGACCATTTCATTGGGGCAAATCACGGATGCCACTACTTGGGTATATAACTCCGAACGTGGGCATCCCTAGTAGTTACGGTTGGTAACACTTGAATATTTGACCAATGGGGGGTTTCAAATTAATCGTTGCCATGCTTAGTGGTTGGTAAGTTAAATCTCTTTGGTGAGATTTTGAGTGTCACCTAAACTATTAAAATTGTCGAAATTATTATAATGGTGGTTACATTTATCATGCTATTGAATTTTAGTATTATTTTAATTGTCATGATTTGATTATTTTCTCTTAAAAAGAATGGTAGGTTGGTTACGTTTTCTTATTGTATTGCAAAACTCATGGCCTATATTTTGTTGCCCTGGCGTTTCATGCCAGATTATGTCGAAGAAGGGACTGAGGCTGAATTTGGAGCTGCTGCTAATACTGAACCTTGGCTAACTTAAAATCAAGACTCTATCGAAATAAAATTTTATTATTGTAGACTCGACTTTCTTCGCGCGCCCTCCTTTCGAAGAGGTGCGAATTGGTCTCCTACAGTTCGGACTCCTGTCATGGTTCTGAATCTAATCTCACAAAGTGCAATGTGAGACTGATAAACACCAAAGAGTCCAAATCTGGAAATTGGTTTTGGAAAATCGATTTTGAATCAAAAAGCGCCAAATATGAACTGCTTTGCCAGATTACAAAGTCGCCACCTAAATATTTTATTTTTGGAAAATTTAGGAAACCCTGACTCGTGCCAAAGGCCACGTGTCCGTCATCACCAAAGTTGCCTCGACTCGGGAACTTGGGTACCAGAGAGGAAGGTCCTGAAATGAGCACCCCCGCTCGCCTGATCAAAGATCGGCCTCTACTAAGTATGATATGTTGTTTTATAAACACATGTATTTTTATTCCAGTTATTAGCTAACTTACTATGTGATGCGCGCAGCATACAAGTATAGACTAAATTGCAAGAATTGGAACAAAACAATTCATGTTTGTTTTCAAAAAATGGTTTGAAAGTGCCACCCTCAAGTGGGCTAAAGCGCGGATTTGCTACCCTCAAAGTGGGCTTAAAAATATGGTTTGCCACTTCACAAAGTGGGCTTAAAACTCACAATTATCGAATTGTTCCAATTCAAGTAATAAAGCCTTCATCCACAGGCATTCATGCAGTTTAGCAAGTAAGAAGATAGCCTCATGGCAAACATGCTAAACATGGCAACACTCACACTCATGCAAGTATGCTAAAGCGTAAAACTTACAGTGTACTCCAAGCCAAAACAGAAAACTGTTAGAAACAATGCATGATCCTAACTATGTTCAAGATGCCTAATGCAACGCATGCAATAATGCAACTAAATAGGCTCGGCTATCTAAGATGGCATATGAATGCAACAATTTGATAACATCCTGAAACACGTATTCAAATAAGTATATTGAAATATAATACAGTTTCAATGATGCGCTGAGCCCGGTGCATGCAAGACAAATGAATGATGCACGCATGCGAGCATAAGGTATGCTAATTGAAAATGCTCCCTAAACTAACCATCGAAAGCAGATAAGAAAAGGGAGAAAGACGTGGGGTTGGAAGACATGCACACACACACGCACGCTTATTACGACATTGTGCCCTCTCGAAGGAGGGTCCGAATGAAATAAGCTAAGCTAAGCTAAGCTAATTATTACACAAAAAAACGAAGAACTAGTAAACTACTTACTAATTATTATAATACTTAACTAATTAGCACACTAATTAATTAAATTACAAATTCATGCTATCTAACAAGAAAAGCTTTAAACTTATACTGCCTCAGCTCTGTTTGAAGAAGTTGAACATGCATGCATTGGTTTTCGTCCCGAAAAGCCTTCCGATTTGTTCTTTAGAGGCTCTGTTTGTAGGGTGTCTCCAAGAACTTTTTGCGGAACCTTACCAAATAACTACTGGGGAGTGCACCAGTGGCCTGCCGGCCAAGGGTGGGCCTTGCCGGCCAACAATGAAGCACTACCGGCCAATGATGGAGCATTGCCGGCCACTAGTGTGTTGGTTCACCAAACTGCAACAGAGTATTCACAGAGAAAAAATAAGGGTTTTCTTTGGACATGTTTGTACTGCACCCTCTCCTTATCATCTCAAAACATCAAATGAGGGGGGCTATTGGATCCAAAACCACAAATCAAGCATTTTTTATGCATGATGGCTGTGACAACCCTCACTTCTGATTAGTGATAAATTGTGATTAAGCATGATAAGTAATTGATTAAGATGAAGTCCTAAATTGTTGTGTAAGTGTGTTGTTTAAAA